ATTTATAACAATTTATAAAACAACTTTTAATAATGCAAATAAAGGCTTAAATTCAGTTTCTTAACATGAGTGTTTGTTGAACATGGAAAGTGTCATCATACTTTCTAAACCCCCTCCCCATTGACACAAAGATCCGAATCTCCCCCACCACCTCAGTCTGATGTCTTTTATGGACGACCACTACAGCATTTTCCTATTATTTGTAGGATATTCATTAATTAGTCTTACAAAATCCAATTACATTTATAGTTATGATGGTATCTCTATCATTAAAAATATTAAATAGTTTTTCTTAACATTTCCCCTAACCTCATTTGCTATGGCTGCCTATAGAAAACATCTTTTCCTCAAATATCTGGAATGCATCTGACCAGCAACACTTTTCTTTTGTAATATATAAACAATTACTAAATGTTCATAAACTCGCACGGCCAATAACAACACATTACCAGGAAACAGGCAGTGATTATAGTTTGTTGTATTTGTGGTTGATTGTTTGTTATCAGCCATGCTTCTTTGGTCCACATTTATATGCTGGTATAGCTGGAATTGAAGAAAATCCATTGTGTGTTTCTGTACAGTTTCTTTACTCACATAAACTCGGGATTTATGAGCTACTCTTTTTATCTATTACGTATTGGTGAGCGACATTTGATTACTTAAGCTATATGTCGGTTTTCATAAAAATTTGGTAAAAAAAGTTTAGTAACTGTGTTTACATTTAGATTACAAACTTAGTTTTCCATCAGCTGTAGTCCAAAAAGCTCAATATTTCATCCTTCTGTTGACATTTCTACTATATAGAAATTATTTTATATAGAAATGGGATAATTATCTTGTAAATTTACATATTCTCGTGTATGTCATCAATCTTCTGGCACCAACAGCAATGTGGAAGACTAGCAATGCAAACAGAGTTTCTTCCAGGTATCTCTTCGGGGGGGCGAAGGCCCATCCGAAAATTTTTAACCGCCCCCCCGAACGGAATGAAATTTATATAATTTATATAGAAAATATATACTTTTAACAGTGTCCGCCCCCCCGAAGAAAGTTTACCGCCCCCCCGAAAATTTCAAGTGCCCCCCCGGAGAAAAAAGTCTGGAAGAAACACTGAATGCAAAACAATACGTTGGCACTGAAAAAAAATCATGAGAATATATATATATATATATATATATATATATATATATATATATATATATATATATATATATATATATATATATATATATATATATATATATATATATATATATATATATATATGTATATTGTATATATATATATTGCCCTCTAAAATGAAACTTCTTACACCATACAAAATAACAAACCAAAAAAAAACCTCACGCATTTCTCAAAAGTTAGACCAGAAAAATCTGGCCACCCTAGAGACTAAAGCCTTTGCCCGGTTTGTCAACAGCGCGCCTGGATCGTATTATTTGGCAACTCAACAAAATTTGGTGTTATCAGTTTTGATAAATGTGAAATAGACTTTCTAAAGTGTGAGACTTGACTTAAAGTCGGCAGTCAAGTTTATAGCTGAGATTTAGATCTAATGTCGGCAGCAACTAAAAAACAAGTTCATGTTTTTCGACTGCTTTCAGGTGAAATAACTTTTGTTTCTGTTGATTAAAATTTTATGGTCAAAGGTAAATAATCAGTAAAATAAAATTTCTATTAAGATATACTGAGTTACCTCGCATACTTTTTATGACAGTATTATGCTGAAGGAGAAATTTACTTACTTGTGTTTATAGTTATTATTTTATATGGTGATAAAACAACATTTCTTTGAAAAATTAAACACAAGCATCTTTTGAAGTTTTACTGGCTGGAGAAGTAAGCATTTAAATATCTGAAGTGTACGCAAGGGATTGGGTGAATTTCGGATTTCCCCCCCCCCCCCCCCACTCGAACGAAATGGAATTTATAGAGAAAATATATACTTTTGCCAGTGTCCGCCGCCCCTCCCCCCCCCCCCCCCCCCCGCAAAAAGTTTATCGCCACCCCCTTAACCTGTGTTCGCCGCTCGACGGGAATTTAAATCCACCCCCATCCTGAGAGTTTCATTAAGTCTCAGCTACAAACATGACTGCCGACATTAAGTCTCAGCTACAAACATGACTGCCGACATTAAGTCTCAGCTACAAACTTGACTGCCTACATTAAGTCTCAGCTACAAACTTGACTGCCGACATTAAGTCTCAGCTACAAACTTGACTGCCGACATTAAGTCTCAGCTACAAACTTGACTGCCTACATTAAGTCTGAGCTACAAACTTGACTGCCTACATTAAGTCTGAGCTACAAACTTGACTGCCGACATTAAGTCTCAGCTACAAACTTGATTGCCGACATTAAGTCTCAGCTACAAACTTGACTGCCGACATTAAGTCTCAGCTACAAACATGACTGCCGACATTAAGTCTCAGCTACAAACTTGACTGCCGACATTAAGTCTCAGCTACAAACTTGAATGCCGACATTAAGTCTCAGCTACAAACTTGAATGCCGACATTAAGTCTCAGCTACAAACATGACTGCCGACATTAAGTCTCAGCTACAAACTTAAATGCCGACATTAAGTCTCAGCTACAAACTTGAATGCCGACATTAAGTCTCAGCTACAAACATGACTGCCGACATTAAGTCTCAGCTACAAACTTGAATGCCGACATTAAGGCTCAGCTACAAACTTGACTGCCGACATTAAGTCTCAGCTTCAAACATGACTGCCGACATTAAGTCTCAGCTACAAACTTGAATGCCGACATTTAGTCTCAGCTACAAACATGACTGCCGACATTAAGTCTCAGCTACAAACTTGAATGCCGACATTAAGTCTCAGCTACAAACTTGACTGTCGACATTTCTCTTCACTACCATCGTGTTTTGTTTATCATCAACACAAAACATTAAGATTATCAACGATAACAAAATGAATGAAAGAAACTTAGAAATCTTCTAAAACTTTATTGATATCAATACAAACAGTTTGTAAACAAATACAGTTTGCAAACAAATACAGTTTGTAAACAAATACAGTTTGTAAACAAATACAAACAGTTTTGTAAACAAATACAAACAGTTTGTAAACAAATACAGTTTGTAAACAAATACAGTTTGTAAACAAATACAAACAGTTTGTAAACAAATACAAACAGTTTGTAAACAAATACAAACATGAATTAAAGTATAAATAAAGACAATGATGAATGATGGCGATGACAAATCTAATGTGGAGGTTTAAACAAAACAAAGATACAAGTGTAGCCTATAAATATTTCATTTCTCAACAATAAACATTTGTTTATAATTTTGTTTATGTGTCTAACAACTCTAAACAAAGGACTGAAAGAAACCAAACAATTTATTTCTTGTCTTCACCAGAATACAAAGTTGCTGATGAAGACATTCAAGTCTTGACACACACAAGTTTAATGAAGGGAGCCGCCATTTTGTTTGTTTACATTAGACAAGGGGAGAGAACCAACAGTTACAGATGGATCAAAAATACACCCCATCCTCCCCACTATAATTTCCTTCAGAGTTTGATCCACTGTGGGGACGTTGGTACCACCCGTTAAATCCCGGCATGTAGACATACGCTCCACTGGAGCCAGGACATGTACATGTTGTGTACGTGAACTTGTACATACCTTCCCTCTCACGTTTGTGTGTCCATTGTCCTACAGAGACCTGTTTAGGACAGCCATGAGGATGTGACACTATAACGGTCAACTTGTCCACGACAAAAAATCTCCTGTATTTGTCTTTTACTTCCCCACATAGATCATAAAAGTGCCGCCACGTCTTGTCCAGTTCATCAAGCAACTCTAAGTCACATGACACACATGTAAACAAACACATGTCTTCCTCAATGTATGCCCTAACGTCCACCCCCCAGCCATCAAGACTGACCCCAGGACTTTTATTGTCATCAAAACCTACAACACACCTTGTCTGTCTCGCTTCACTGTCATCAAACACCACGTGTGCGGCTGTCCTCACATGAACCACCCCCCACACTTTGCTAGGTGTGTCCGAGTGTTGACACTTGCCACATGGACAAGTGCCCTTGTTGTCCCTCTCTGTGTACTTGACCACATGCCACACCCTCCCCGTCCCTGTCCTCAACACGTCACTTCCTCTGGTGTTATAAAATGGATACTGACCATTGAAGCATGGAACAGACTTTGGTCTCTCTAGACTGGTGTACTTGACCTTTATCAGGACCGTTACAGCAGACAAAGCTTTGATTAGCTCCAACATGATGACGTCACGGTACTGTGAGGGGAGATGATCCAAGTTAAAATCATTAACAGGTATAAAGTTGACATGACCTGGATTCTTCTTACAGCTGTTATAGTGCTTGTGTAAGTCAGCTTCACCTCCATAGCAGATCTCAGCTTCATGATGTCCTGGGGAGATACAAGGGGAGGGAATTTAGATTAAGAAAAATTATATTTAAACTTTTTACATGATGCATAAAAAAACAAGGCAAATAGCTAAAATAAATAATAGAAATTTCTAATCTATACTAAAACATATAGCAGATGAAGCAGAGTTTACGTGTTTTTATAATTTATAATGTGATAAACTGCCCAATAATTGTTTAAACATTATTAATTATCTAATTGCTGTAAAGCTAGTCCAGTAGTGACAAAGGAAATTATTGAGTTGTTGCTTGATTACAAAAAATACTAAAACATCAAATGTGCCCTATCTTTATTAAGTCTGACTAAAACCAAACAGTCAGGTTTTTTACCATATTTTTAATTACATCGTGTATGATTTTAAAAATATTTTAAGGGTCTATCAAATTACTTCAAGACAATTCTCTGTAGGTTCTATCAACATTCAGAGTTAGTTGGACCAAGTTATGATTCTACCAGTTTTTCAGCTGTAATAAAACCCTTGACCTTGATTCATGCAGTTAATCAATCTGTATGCATTTACATTCCAACACTTGTACATTTTTTATACAATCAAAAACTCACCTGGTATGAAACATGTTTCAGTGCTTTTTTCTTTTAACTTTGTTGTCTGACAATGGCTTTGTGTTACATCTAAAAATATTTTAAAATCATCATTATCAGATATTTTAGCTTCATAAAATTATGTATACATTCGTAAAACAACTGCATATTTCTAAATAATTACTTCCTATTATGCAAACCAGATATAAATTAATCTACACAAAAACTTCTGTAAGAATTATTATGTTACCTTCATCTTCCGACTGAAGTTCCCTTTTCTTTCCACCTGTATTTTCCATTGCTGTAAAATTCACCTAAAAAGTATTAAACTCACTTTACTCATGTTTACTCTCTAACTTACTGTACAGATGAGGTTTTGTGAACATTCAAATCTACCCTGTACAGATGAGGTATTGTGAATATTCAAATCTACCCTGTACAGATGAGGTATTGTGAACATTCAAATCTACCCTGTACAGTTGAGGTATTGTGAACATTCAAATCTACCCTGTACAGATGAGGTATTGTGAACATTCAAATCAACCCTGTACAGATGAGGTATTGTGAACATTCAAATCTACCCTGTACAGATGAGGTATTGTGAACATTCAAATCTACCCTGTACAGATGAGGTATTGTGAACATTCAAATCTACCCTGTACAGATGAGGTTTTGTAAACATTCAAATCTACCCTACACAGATAAAGTTTTGTAAACATTCAAATCTACCCTGTACAGATGAGGTATTGTGAACATTCAAATCTACCCTAAACAGATGGGGTATTGTGAACATTCAAATCTACCCTGTACAGATGGGGTATTGTGAACATTCAAATCTACCCTGTACAGATGAGGTATTGTGAACATTCAAATCGACCCTGTACAGATGAGGTATTGTGAACATTCAAATCTACCCTGTACAGATGAGGTATTGTGAACATTCAAATCTACCCTGTACAGTTGAGGTATTGTGAACATTCAAATCTACCCTGTACAGATGAGGTATTGTGAACATTCAAATCAACCCTGTACAGATGAGGTATTGTGAACATTCAAATCTACCCTGTACAGATGAGGTATTGTGAACATTCAAATCTACCCTGTACAGATGAGGTATTGTGAACATTCAAATCTACCCTGTACAGATGAGGTTTTGTAAACATTCAAATCTACCCTACACAGATAAGGTTTTGTAAACATTCAAATCTACCCTGTACAGATGAGGTATTGTGAACATTCAAATCTACCCTGTACAGATGGGGTATTGTGAACATTCAAATCTACCCTCTACATATGGGGTATTGTGAACATTCAAAACTACCCTGTACAGATGAAGTTTTGTAAACATTCAAATCTACCCTACACAGATAAGGTTTTGTAAACATTCAAATCTACCCTGTACAGATGAGGTATTGTGAACATTCAAATCTACCCTGTACAGATGGGGTATTGTGAACATTCAAATCTACCCTGTACAGATGAGGTATTGTGAACATTCAAATCTACCCTGTACAGATGAAGTTTTGTAAACATTCAAATCTACCCTAAACAGATAAGGTTTTGTAAACATTCAAATCTACCCTGTACAGATGAGGTATTGTGAACATTCAAATCTACCCTATACAGATGGGGTATTGTGAACATTCAAATCTACCCTGTACAGATGGGGTATTGTGAACATCCAAATCTACCCTGTACAGATGAGGTATTGTGAACATTCAAATCTACCCTGTACAGATGGGTCTTGAACACATTTAAATCTAATATGTCCAGATGAGATCCTGGTTCTAAATTGTAGAAGTGAAGACACCTAGGCGCGGCGCTGACAAACACAATCTTTCTATAGAACACAATTGGTGAATCTGTGAAGTCTACTTCACCATCTCAACTGATGTCTTCTACATTTACCTATGTTCATACATTAAAAAAATAATTTAAATCATTATCTGCAACACCCACATAAAATATTCTTTCTGCCTGTGCCAGTATGGCTAAACACACACACAGAAGTATGAGATAAATATCAGAAAACTGAACATTAGGTGTAGCTGTGTAGATCTAATCCAACATTTTTCCAATGTGATTTTTTATGTTAGCTGAGCTTGTGATGTCTGATGTTGGCTGAGCTTGAGAATGTCTAATGTTGGCTGAGCTTGTGATGTCTGATGTTGGCTGAGCTTGTGATGTCTGATGTTGGCTGAGCTTGTGATGTCTGATGTTGGCTGAGCTTGTAATGTCTGATGTTGGCTGAGCTTGTAATGTCTGATGTTGGCTGAGCTTGTGATGTCTGATGTTGGCTGAGCTTGTGATGTCTGATGTTGGCTGAGCTTGTAATGTCTGATGTTGGCTGAGCTTATGTCTGATGTTGGCTGAGCTTGTGATGTCTGATGTTGGCTGAGCTTGTGATGTCTGATGTTGGCTGAGCGTGTAATGTCTGATGTTGAGTGAATATTTAAGACCTCTTTATCTGCATATTATGTCTGCTCTGGAAAAGAAAATTTTCCTGTTTTTTATAGCCGGGAAATATTGGACAGACAAACATGAATAAAACATCCAATTTTTACCAACACTTTTTTTCTTAATAAAAATCTTATCAAACGGCCTATGAAATAAAAACAATAATTGAAAAGGATTACTACAGGCAACACATTTTAGGCTAAACATATTTATTGAATCTGTAATTAAATAATAAGTTGTCTGCAAGTTTTATATTTTGTTACTGCCTAGGATTTTGTCTAAAAGTAAATTTGAATAGACTTAGGCCTATAGATATTTGATTATTAATTGTTAGGCTTAGATTCTAGATCTATGTACTCCATTGCTTTTTCATTTATACTTTTTTTTTACATGATGGAATGTGTGTTTAATCCTATTTTTTCATTGGCATTGGGAATTGTGTCTATGCTGTCTGCATCAAACTTGTTTTGTAGTTTAGTAGTTGACTGATAGATCTAGATCTAGTTAATGTAAAACTAAATTAGAGAACCAGATCTAGCTAGATCTATGTAAAGTATTAATAAAAAATAGAATCTAGACTATTCTACTAAACTCTAGTTTTGTTAATGTTAGGCCTAGTTAGAGTACTATTATGGGCTTATGATATGATATATCGGTAATCTATCGTTTTGGGTACGTAAAATCGCCCGTGGCTATTTATGTACGAAAACGTTACCTCATTGTCAAGGCTTTAATAGAAGTATATTGTCATACTTTTGTGTCAAATATTATAGATAAATGAATAATAAACCTAAATCAATGGCTAAATATATCGATATAGGCCAGAAATTAACTTTAAACAGCAGTGTCTGAGAGCAAGATTTGCTATATAAACAGCAGCAATTTGTAAAATAGAGTGGCTTCCCCCTGAATCTGGCGCTAAAAGCTTATAAAAATAAAACTTAGACAAGATGTCTGCTATAGTAAATGAGCAAGGTTGCATCTGTTGGAAACATCGCTGGTGTTCATTTATTACGGAAAAGTTTTAATTCAATTGTTTAAAAACAGGTACATAAATGAATCAAGGAAACATTTTTGAATTTTTTAAAACATAAATCCTCCTCAAAATGTGAAATAATTATTAAAATTTAAGGAGTCACCTGTTTTTCACATTACAAATTGCGGGCGATTTTACGTACCCAAAACGATAGATTACCGATATATCATATATAGGCCTAAAGAAATTTTGATAATCATTAGTATTCTATAGTCTTTAGATCTAAATCTAACTATAGTTACTATAGGCATATTGGAATATCTTCTAAGAACCAAGCCTTAGGGCTCTGGCCGCTAAAGGGTAAAGTTAGTGACTTAGAAGACTTAGGACTTTGACTAATCTCTAGACTCGACTGTGACTAGTCTAGCTACTAGATTTAGATCCAGTACTTTACTACTAGAATCTAGAGGTTTTGGGAAATAGCGAGGCACAAAATGGCGAGGCAGTAAACTGCGATAAGATATTGCAAGACATAGGCCTACCTGCAGAATCACGGGTAAATATATCTAGATAGATTTTTACATCTAGATCGAGATTAAGTTAGAATTTATAAGACTCAGAGGCTAAGAGTAGAGCAAAAACGAGTGAGAGACTTGTTGGTAATCTATTGCTTTAGGTAGGTCTACGTAAAATCGACCGCATCTAATAATGTACAAAAAAGTTACCCCATTCATTGTTAAGGCTTTAATAGTAGTATATTGTGAAATATTTGTGTCAAATATTATAGATAACTGAATAATAAACCAAAATCAATGGCTAAATATATCAATATAGGCCAGAAATTAACTTTAGACAGCAGTGGTTGAGAACAAGTCCCCAAGATCTGCTATATAAACAGCGGCCATTTGTAAAATAGAGTGGCTATTTAGTATTAGTTTACAAAACAAAAATTAAACAAGATGGCTGCTATAGTAAATGAGCTTAGTTGCATCTGATGGAAACATCGCTAGTCTTTATTTATTACTGAAAAGTTTTAATTCATTTGTTTAAAATCAGGTACATAGGCTAAATGAAACTTTGAAACATTTTTGTAACTTTCAAAATTAAAATCCCCCTATTACTAGATCTAATAATTATTATTATAATAATTATTATAATAAGTTAAATAAGTTATTAGAGTCTAATGTGCAATGTGACGGTAAAACCGTTTAGGCTTACATTTATTTTATTCTTCCACCACCCTCTACCTGCTCTATTACCCCCCCCCTCTACAACTACGTACATTTTTATCTTTCGTCCCCCTCGCAGGCCCCTCTCTAGTTGGCTAGTTTGTCCACGTGACACACCGCCAATGTAAAGGCATATAGGGGGATGCAAAAAAGGGATTCTCGCACTTTTCCAGCACTGAGCTCAGCTGGTGGTGTCGCACGCGGCGTTTGGGCCGTCGGCCCTACTCCTACGTGCATGGTTTTGTGTTATTTACTTCATTCATTCTATAATAACTGTATGGTTTGTAATACATATAAATAAGTATGATTCGTATGTTTAAGTTTTAAAAGTATAATAAATTAAATTGTACTATTGCAGTAACTTTGTGTTTTTAAGTAACTTATAGTTATTTGTATTTTACTACAGGCCGTAAACTGCGGGCATTGAGTTGACCCGTAGTCATCGGACCTGATATTGTATTTTATACACCGGCCGTAAACCCTTGCCAGAGTCAAGAGGTCATCGGACCAGGTTGTTATTACTTTAAGGCTGTAAACTGCGCACATTGAATTGTAGCGTAGTCATCAGACCTTCAGCTTGCCACTATTAAGTTTACTTATTATACTTATTAATATTACTGCATTAGCTGCTGAAACTTTATTATTACTTTCT